AATTAAGTAAATCAATGGTGGATGGTAGAAGCAGGTTTTCCACTGTTGGAGGGGAAGGGGCTACAATGATCCATTTGCTAATGATTAGAGTTGAAAACATCAATGAGAACTCATATTTAGTTTAGTATAGTTACAGGTGATTGCACACAGAAATCTTCATATATGTGTATGTGTGTTTATGCATGGGTTAATTTACACACGTACATTTCCATGCTTTGTCAGCTAAAAGAGCCTTAAAGAAACAAAGCTGGTGCAGTGCCTCATGCCTATAATCCCAGCACTTTGAGAGGCTGAGGCAGGGGCACCACTTGAGTTCAGGAGTTTGAAACCAGCCTGAGCAACACAAGGTAACCCCATCTCTAACAAGAAGAAAAGAAATGAAAAGAAAAAAGATAAGAGGGGAGGGGAGGGCAGGGGAGGGGAGGGCAGGGGAGGAACACTTCAGTAGCAATGAGCAAACCTATTGCCCAGATCTTGGTTTCTCAGCCGATTCTCCAATGAAAGGAACTAGAGCCCCTTAGAGAAATGTCTATTTCTACATCTGGGGCAGGAAGTGTACAAGATGAGCCAAGAATATTTGTAGTACCAAAAGTAATCAAGCGCTAAAAACAAATGAGCCCACGTTGATGGGGGTTATCAAAGAAGCCAACTCAAAGAGCTCCCAAGGGCCAAAGCTGGAACAATTTGAGCAACAAAATTAAGTAGTCATGGCTTATAACCCAAAATACAAAATAAATATCTATGACTCCATATTGATATGAATGATTGAATAAATAAATGGAAGAGAAAAGACAAAGAATTCCAACTAATTTAGATAGCTCCTTTACCCTAAGGGAGGAGAAACAAAACATGTCACTCTAAGTGTGGACTGTACAGAGAGACTTTTTTCCAAAGATTAACAGTATGGAAAGGATGAAAAAAGGAGTAATCTTACAGTGGAGAAACCTGACAAACAGTATGTTAGGCAGATCACCAACATTAATGCCAACAGTTATAAATTGAGTTGATAGAATGTACCCTCACTATGATATGACGACAATCGCCCTTCAGTGCTGTGATTTTACCCCCACAAACACATAACCCCAATCTCTTCATAAGAAAAACATCAGACAAATTCCAGGAGAGGGGAATCCTTGCATTATACCTGATCAGAACTCATCAAAACTCTTAAGGTTGCCAAAAATCAAGGAAAGTCTTTTGGGTTGTGTTCGTTTTTGTTTTGTTTTATTGTTTTGTTTTTTCGAGACAGGGTCTCACTCCATCACCCAAGGTAAAGTGCAGTGGTGCAGTCACTGCTCACTGCAGCCTGGACCTCCCAGGCTCAGGTGATCCTCCCACCTTAGCCTTGCAAGTAGCTGGGACTACAGGCACATGCCACCATAGCCCAGCTAATGTTTCGTATTTTTAGTAAAGACGTAGGTTGCCCAGACTGGCATTAAACTTCTGGGCTCAAGAGATCCACCTACCTCAGCCTCCCAAAGTACTGGGATTGAGGTGTGAGCCACTATGCCTGATTTCTAGTCTTAGAAACCATTATAGCCAAGAGAATGAGAGATGACAACTAACTGTAATACGGTATTACGAATGAGATCCTGGAACAACAACAAAAAAGACATTAATGGAAAAATTAAGGAAATCTGAATAAAGGATAGATTTTAGTTAATCATAATCATGTATCTATGTCATTTCACCAATTGAAATGAATTTATCATACTAATGTAAGATGTCAATAACAGGGGAAACTAAATGTGAGGCATATTGAAACTCTCTGTACTGTCTTCATAATTTTCCTGTAATTCTAAAATTGCTCTAAAAAAATCTATTAAAAACTTTTTAAATACAATCAACAGATCATTATAGCCAAGAAAGAGAACTCAGAACATATATATAATGCTGGATTATGATAAAGGAGATATTAAAAATATGCACGAAAAGAACTGACTGTTATTAAATAAACGATCCAGGGACTACTTGCTAGACCACATGAAAAAATAAAATCAGGTGAGATTAGACTACTGCCACACTCCACATACAGACTGCAGTTGGAGTACAATTTCAAATGTGTAAAAACAAATCTTTAAAATAATTATAAAAAATCTTAGAGAGTATCTTCATAGTTTTGGGATAGGAAAGGCCTTCTTAAGCAGAAGAAAAGCAACATGAACCATACAGAAAATATTGATTTTACTACAAAAAAAGTTTTCAACTACTATAGAAAAAATGTTACTATTTAAGGAATTAAAAAGCACAAGTGACTGACCAGAAGAAATGGCACTCAACCTATAATGGCTCAAAAGATTACTATGTAAAATATATATAAAGAAATTCCGTAAGTAAATTTGAAAATGATAAACCAACACAAAAATGGAGAAAAGATATGAATAGATAAATCACAGAGGAATGACCACTAAACAAATTACAATATGCTAGATATCACTAGCAATGCACATTTCACACTTAAGATTTTATATTTTTCCCAAAAGATTGGTTTAAAATTATAAAGATTGACAATATTGAATATTGCCAAGAATGGAAAAGAAAAGATATTTAACACACTGAGTGCAGATCATTCGGTGCTTTACCCACTCTAAAGGACAATTTGACATCACTAAATGTGCACACCTTCCCTTCCAAAATATTTACAAAAGGAGCAAAGCCAGGCTTTCGTTAACAGCAATATGGTTCACTGAATAGCGATATAACAGAAAAGTACGCATTAGTTTAAAAGAATGAGATGACTATATAGAGGTATAGAGAGACAGATTACAGATAAACATGTGTAAACACACATACTTGTTTCTATATATAACATGGAAATAGCTCTCCAAGAATATAGCTTAGTGTAGAAAAAAAGTTGACGAATAAAAATTAGGGCATAACAAAATCTGTGATTAAAAAGAAAAGAAAAAGACTCGAAAACAACATATTTATGACATATACATGCAAGTATTAAATGCACAGGAAACTCTTACAGGCTACTTATCAAACTGAGAAAAAAATGAGATTGAGGGAAAGCGGTATGATTTTATACATTACTTGTATAATTAGATTTTTTTCCTTAGTGAAATAAGCAAGACAGGAAAGAAGCGGTAAAAGTTTTACACGGAACGTATTTTCCCAAATGAGCAATCCATATGCATCTAGGCTGCTATAAGTCGGGTGCCTGCTCCTGTGGCATGAGGGTCTCACCTTCACTTACACGCTAACTCTGTTCCCCTGGAAACCTGATAATGGGATGACATCAGTAATACTGCTAAGCAACTGCTGCTTACGAGAAAAATGACCCGACTGGCCAGTGCATCCGGACTGGGAGGGACTACGAGAGGGCAACAAACATCTAATGCATACGCTGTATTTTGTGGCTTCTGTAAATGCAGAGATGCTTGTCTTCTGTGCTTGGCTCAAGCCTTGTGGGGACATAAGGTCAAAAAACACCATAAAGCAAGGTGTCATTCAGATAGGCACTTTAGATTTGCAGTAAGCGAGCTGGCTACGTGTGGAAAAGCCCTTTTTAAATTCTTAATAGCCTATGCTATTTTTCATGACTGACACCGAAACTGCCTTATAAACTATAAATACTCCATTTTAATCCTCCTTCAAGTTATATGTAAGCAACAATATTTTGCATTCAATTAAACTAAGGCATTTTGGGTGAACAGCAAGGTTTAAAACATATTCATTACACAACTGTAGTAAATTTATGGTTCACATAAATTTTATCCATAATTTCCCAAAGCACTATGGAAAGTTAAATCATTCATTTTTATAAAGTAGAACACAATGTGGGACTATATAAAACCTAAAAAGAAGAAAAAAATTTCCAAAGGGGCTGGCTTCCAAGTTAAGCGCTTGAGAAAGAAAAGCTTTATGTAATTTAACAATCAAAACTTCTTCCTGACAAAAATGAATCCTCAGTGTAAATCAGGGTGGAAGAAAAATCATTCTTGATTGATAAAGATCAGACAAAATTTGCCAAAATATAACTATGGACATGCTTGAAATAGTGAAGAATTACATTTGCAAATAGTGCAAATGGAAATGCCAGTGTCAAGTGATACGAGATAAAAGTGACTTTGCGTTTCAGCGTTTTTGAAGTGAGAGCAGCAGTCATTGTAATTGTCCAGTCTGAGATAGCCATTTCCGACGGTTAGAGAGCTGTACCAACCAAATTCAAGATGCCCATATGAAACAGAAAACATTCCTTTTCATCATAATATGGTATGACTTCTTTCAAGGGACTTTAAAAATGACATAGACCCCCATCCCCATTTGCATTTTTTTTCTAGTTCTTAGAGGCATCCAGGATTCTACACTTTGAAAAAGTGCTGATTGAGGCATCTACCACCATACCCCTACTTCCTGAATCAGATCAGAAGAGGAGGATTTCATGTACACATGTGTGCATGTGAGGGTTTTTTTCCTTTCTTATAAGTATCTGTTCTAGGTATCTCAAAGTCTTATAACTGATAATCATGAAATATGTTTATTTGTTAGTTTTAATTGAATCCCTTAATGTCATATATCAACTTCAGGATATGTTTTACCTCTGACAGAGAGGAAACAGAGAATTGGGGTAAGGATAATGTTTTACTTCTTAAAGAAAAAAAAAAAAAGAGAAAGATCTGAATCAACTGTGGCAAACAGTTCCTGTTTTTACATCTGAGTGAAGGGTAATATGGGTATTATGGTATTTGCCATACTTTTCTGTATGTTTCAAATACTTAATTTTTTAAATTAAATACAAAGAATTATTCTAAAAGCAAGACAGTATGAGAGCATCAGTACACGTCATCACTACCTGGAGAGAGGCAGTCAGCCCATATCCTCCAGTGACATTTACCTAGCAAGGCATCCCTGAGTCCATCTCATGCCCCTAGTGTTGGTGACAGAAAAATAAGCATGATCTGCCTGCATTTGCTTAAAGCAATGCTGTATTTCACTGTGAACAAGAAGATTTAAGCAAAGATGGAATGAAAAATGCCCCTCTTGGGTTCACATACCGGTGTCACTCCCGGATCCCGTTGACAAAGCTGGCATGATGCAAGGTGCAGGAACAGGTCAGCCCACCGCTCTGCAGACACCCTGCCCTCAGAGAGCCACAGGGAATTCCAGCTCAACTGCCTGCAGCCACAGTGTCTACCAAGATCTGTGTATCTTGTAAGCCGTTTCTAGAAAGGAAAGAAACATTCATATTTTTTAAAAAGGGACCATCACCAAATCACAACATTCTGTAACTAATTCAAAATTCTCATCCCAATCACTACCCGAGAGATCACAAGTCTTCAGAATTTTTTCTACAGACCACATGCAAATATGAACCGTGAGAGTTTCTGATCTTGATGAGTGACTTCTAATTGAAAACATGAATGTTCTGCACGCGTGTGTCAAGGCTTCCTTAAAGATTTTTACATTTGGGTTGGGGAACGCTGATTGGATACATGGATAATTTTAAGAAGCTTCTGTACGTCAATGCCATTCTCAACTTCCTTCCCTGTGTTACCATAATTCTCAGCTATATTTCTAAGTGTATAACAGAGACTATATAAATTGTCAGCGACTTATAATTAATTGTATTTTTTTTATATGGAGTCTCACTCTGTCGCCCAGGCTGGAGCACAGTGGTGTGATCTCAGCTCACTGCAACCTCTGTCTCCCAGGTTCAAGCAATTCTCCCTGCCCCAGCCTCCTGAGTAGCTGGGATTACAGACACCCACCACCAACCCTGGCTAATTTTCCTTTTTCTTTTTTTTTAATAGAGATGGGGTTTCACCATATTGGCCAGGCTGGTCTCAAACTCCTGACCTCAGGTGATCTGCCTGCCTTGGCCTCTCAAACTGCTGCGATTACAGGTGTAAGCCACCGCACTCAGCCTAACTGCATTTTTTTAAGTAGCTCATCCTAATATGACAAACACATGGTTCTCTAACTGAAGACTGCAACTAATCTTGAAGGAATACTTACTAGAATGAAAGCAAGATGTTATTATAGATTTATAGAAGTGTTAGTAATCCAAAGTAAATCTAACAATTCGAGCCAGCATACATAAGTAAATTCTTTTAGTAAAAATTAACCTTTGTTGTATCTGGAAAAATATTAACTTCTTTTTAAATAACTACCTTAATTAATGTTTATCCTGAAATAAGCAGTAAAGGCCGTACAGCATAGTGGTTAAGAACAAGGAATCCAGACTTTGACCTAATCTCTAAAGCTGCTAGTTCTGTGATCTTCGACACAGTATTTCATCTTCTTAAGCCTTAACTTCCTTACATGCAAATAAAGACAACAGTAAATTAGAACTATTTGGTAATTAAATATACTCAGATATATAATGCAGTGTCTGACACATGGTAAGTAAACAAGAAACGCTGGCTATTATGACTGGGCTTTTTTAAATTCAGGTAATGAGATTATAAAATGAAAACATAAAAGAAAGTAGCAAGATTAAAATTTACATTGGCCTAACACCTAGAGGGAGGCCATCTGGTTTAAATTTGGATCACCCCTGGCTAATAACGGAAAAAGTACTCCATTTACATTTTTGTAGAAATCAGAAGAACCACACAATGTGTTTTAAGTTCATTTTTAACACACTTTCCTCAATTCTCTATAAAGCAAATTCAGTCATTTAGAAGCATATTTTAACGTGTATTAACAACAAGAAAACATTGGAAACCTTGGAAAAACTGGCTCGCATCAATTCTTAAAGCCTTTAAGTTGTTCGATCAAATTACAGAAAAAAAAGAAATGAACTTGCCGAATTTTATTTTTAAAAATCCACACTGTAAGATTCTATTAAAGCCTTCTAAATTAGCGTTTTAATTGTTAAAGTGAAAATCAGTATTAAAAACACCATTATCAAACGAATTATTTTAGATCAGACTATCTGCTGCAATGGCTTGAATTTTGCTTTATGTTACTGCAAAGGCTGACATAGTTAAAACATGCATACAAATCCATACAGAAAAGAGTGTTCATTTAAAATATGAGGACTGCTATTTTAAGGACCAAATGAAAATACAGCTCACTAAGCTAAAAATTAAAAATGTGAGGCAAGATTTCACTAATGCACATGTCTGAAGCTGTTTTTTCCTAATAATTTTGAAAGCAATTTTGCTTTTTCTTCATAGATTATTATAAAAATCAGGATGAAGATTCAACTACAGGAAAATGTTCCTTATATAAAGCAAGGTTAGAAACGAAGTCATTCAAAGTCAAAAACAGACTGTATAATTTCAAGAACACAGTCAATTAATAGACTTTTGTTTTGCTAATAGAAAAAAAGGAAAACAAATTAAAATTTGTAAAACGTCTGCAGACACATTTGTACCATTAGGGCAATATATATGTACGTATGTTTGTGAGTAGGTACTGTGTGTGTGTGTGTGTGTGTGTGTGTGTGTGTGTGTGTGTGTATGTAACTTAAGTTCTTTACGCCACAAGAAAAGCCATTAATTATATGGTATAGACTGTACATATGCTATACAATCTATATCATGCAACCTATCACTTTCTTCACAGCTTAAAGAACTTACAAAGTTTCACATTTATAAACCATACACACCATATGATAAGACAACATATGCTTACAGCAATTAAAATTTCATATAATCTGAAACATTCACATTCCATTAACACTAAAAGCCTTACATTCCACATCAAAACACCCTTTTGAGCTGATATTGCTGCTGTTCATCTATGCCACATAAGGAAAGCCCTAGCACTTCTTCTTTATTTCATAATGAACCCTCAAGATGAAATTTTTCCAAAGCTGTATTATTTACTACAAAGCAATTCCCTCTTAAGTACATATACTACAAAGTAATCACCTTCTCAGAGCATATGCAAGAATATGAATTTTTAAAATGGTTTGACAGAATCCTAACCAGTAATATTTTGTATTAGTGGAGTAAAGCACTAGGTTTAACTTTCGAACTGAGTTAAACTTTTGTAGTAATGATGTTATTTTCTTTGGCTAAATTCATTGAAAATGCTTTGGAATTTGTCGGAAGGCAGCCACAATTATTACTGACTGTTGTATGGAATCAATTTACTACAACACAAAAATACCAGCTGTTACAGTATGTCCTGAGAGGGATTACAGAATATTCTTAAATTGAAGTTCAATCCAACTTTCCATAAAAAAGAGAAAGATCCAAAAGCCAGGAACATAACAGCAGTATCAAGTGCACCTGAAGCATTTACAATACCCAATAGAATGATTACAACCCTCCTTTAAAAGGGCTTATTTTTGAAATTTCATTATTCCAGTTGTACCTTGCTTCTATATATCACACTGTATCAGGTTCCTCTGGCATTGATCATGTGGAAACAGTGAAGTATGTGAAGGTCTATGAGTTTACAACGTTCAATTTCTACCCACCCTGGGTAAATCTTAATGCTCCCGTGGCACTCATGACATCTAGTGGTCAATCACAAAAGTGCAAGTGTTTACAACTTGTTTTCAGTAATTAACTTACTTCCATCGTCTGCAACATTTTTTATTAATGTAAACATATACACACACACACAGTTAATATATATGAATAAGAAATCAAGTAATTTTCAAATACATTTCCTCTCTATTTGTAAGTGTTCAAAAATATGAAAATTTGTAATTCACTGTCATCATAAACTATTTTAATAAATGTTAGCAATCTCTCATTTCAGAATAAGTGTGCTCAGACATCCAACTGTAGATTATTTCACCAGATGCACATACTCAAAAGTTACATTTTCAAAACCTAATAGAGCAATAAAACAACACACACAGAGTAAACTTTTTAAAATAAATCTAATTATCACAGATATTTTTAAAGCTCAATCTGAAAGACTCATTAATTAGCCAGTGCAAGACGCAGACTTATATCTGTTAACATTATTTGAACCCTCATAAATTATAATTGTAAGAATAAAAAGAGGCAACATATATCTACTTATGTAAAATGGTACTTGTATCTTTTATACCAGCTATTCTTAAAGTGTGGTCCAGAGATCCTTAAAGGTCTCCAGGACCCTTTCAGAGGGGTCCATGAGGTCAAACTATTTTCATAAAAATACTGAAGAAAGTACTGAGATGTTATTTGTCCTTTTCACTGTACCAGCATTTGCACCAATGGTGAAAAGAAATAAAGCAATGGTCACTGTTGGTAAAACCACTGCCATCTGAGCATGAGTCAAGATAATGGCACCAAATTGAAATTATTCAACATTGTCTTCTTCACTGCCAAGGATGCTCATTCAAAGGAAGAGGAGGAAGAAGAAAAGCAGGAAGACGAGGAAGGAAGAGGAAAGGTTCACTATAGAATATCCCTAATGAAGCATTAAAAATTAATATTCATTGACTCTTAAGTACTCCTCTTTTTAACACCCTGTGTGAATAACGGGAAGAACACATAAGGTACTACTGCTATAAACAAAGGAAACACTGTCTCAAAAAAAAAAAAAAAAAAAAAAAAAAAAGTTGTGCTGTGATTTGAATTGTGAACTGTATGGGCTGCTTTGATCATGGAACATCATTTTTTTTTTTTTTTTTACTTAAAAGAACAGAAGACAAACTATGGTCATTCAAGCTTCTCAGTATTTGGCAAACGTTTTCTTGACAATAAATAGAGTCCATGTTTTCAAGAAAAACCAAAAACAGTATGTGTTGCTAATGATAAAAATGAGCTTCCAAGCAAAAATTAGAATTTTATAAAACTTGCACCCACTAGAGGCTCATTTTGCATGGTGCTCTGTTAACTGAAACACACACATGGCGGAACCAAGACCACACTTCGCACTGGTTCTATTGGCTTCCCAATGCCTAAAGGCTTTTCTGGGAAGATCCATGGTGATATTAACAAATGTGATTATTCTGGCATTCTGTATCAACGTTGGGAAGATCTGCATGATTCAGTGAACCAATATTTTCCCATTTTCTACTAACGCATTAGAAAATCATGCATGAACAACATCCATTCAAAGCTCAAGATCCATTTAAAGTTCCAATACAATAACTTTATTTCTATATTTTCAGATTCTACACTGAAACTTATCTTTAAGAAATTGCCATATATCTTTAGTGAAACAGCAAAGAATATCCACACTTAACTGAATAGCCTATTAAAATATTCCTCCCTCTTCCAACTACAGATCTGTGTAAGGTCAGTTTTTCTTCATATCCTTCAAT